AATAGGATAATATACCGTTGAAAAATTAATCAATCAATAAAATCAAACAATCAGTGATATTTTCCTGAAAGTGTTAGTCAATCAAAAACTGAACGTTGAAAGGACTAAATATCACAAAAATTTCATAGATATTTCATTAAATAGATAAGGGACTTACTTGTCTTACCACGAAGAAAGTTCTTTCTAAATCGTTTAAAATCAAGTTTCCAAGAGCAGCTAAAGGGAAGGATAAAAATTTCGTAAAACATTTTTCAAATGTTTATAATAATTATTTATACATTATAAAAATCATTTTGAAATTGGATCAATGATAAGTTGATGTTATCGCTTACTTTGTACGAGGTAAATTATAAATTCGTAAAATCAAACCTAGTTATACTTTCGCCGCATGCGTTTATTTATTTATTCAAAAATTTACCATGTTATTAGCCTTTTCTACCGTCTGGATAATAAGTTTCTAAATAGCTGTCGGTTCAAAATCAAACAGCCACGTTTATTTTCAAAAAAATGTTTATGAGTGAAATTGAATAATGTTGGAAGCTAAAAATTTGATCTTCACTGCCTCAAACCAACAAAAGAATAATTCACAAAATAGTCGTATCATGTTCGAAGTGGATCATGACAACAAATGTTTGAACTGTAGACGCAGTACAAGTAGTTGCTAAGCAAATTTGAAATGCGGCTTACAAAACTTGGGGCAGTCAACCGTCAAGAAATTATTTCTACTTAATGATATTCATACGGAGGAAAACTCGACATATTTATAATTACACAAGCATTGAATGGCTACCATCAGACACTTCAATCGCTGTACTACATAATATTTTACCAGATATTTTTCACTGAATTTCCTTAAAAGATGGCGGCTTTCCATCAAACGTGTATAGTGTTTTTTATTCAAGGCAACTACTCTTATCAACAACTCGCCACACCTTAAGTTCAAAAGTTCAACAACTAAATTCATCACATATTTATTTTCATTCATGGCTTCACCAATCACCATGGCAATTATGAACAAATTTGATTGATGAATAAACATCAACCCCTACATATGCTTTAATTAATCATCAACTTTGATCTTACCTCTTTCTATGTGGTGATTTAAATGCCCCATGTCTACACATTTCATGCCAATATTTTAAGTCTAATTTAAACACACACTCATCAGATTATTATTAAAAACAGTGCAGTTAGTGATTCTGATCAATGTCTCAACGCTAACCAAACCATCACCACTTTCCATTCTCTGTCAACTAAAGTTATCATTTTCACCGACCCTACTTCTCGAAATATTACTCACATTCTTCCTCCTAAACCTGCCAATTTTTCCTTCAGCCAAATATTTTTCACACATCTTTTAAAAGTCCTTCTACTCTTGAAAAGCAATATCTTGAACATATTATTCCTACAAACTAATATATAATTTCAAATTTTGCAATAAACATCTAGAACGTTTGGCAATGAATCGATCGGCAATCAATTGACTCAAATTAACCCTAAAAATTCGTTGTCGTGTTCTTCTGCAACAATCAATTTTTGGAAAATGATTACCTTTGTCAATTTTCTAAAATGATCATCTTTTCTTTGTCAACCCAGACAAAGAAAATATAAACTATTTTGGAATGGTTAGGGTTAGGGTTAAGAAGACAGCCAAAAATGGTGTTGGAATTTTTGTCAGAAAACCGCTAGTTAAAAAAGTGCTAGATATTAAAAAAATTAATTCACGTCTCATGTGGATCAAGCGTCGCCTAAAAAATCTACCTTAATGGCTTCAAAAACAGTGCTATTTATAATTTGTTGTTGTGGATTGATGCAAGCAGGACAAACAAAATTGGACACTTTAGATAAAGTACCAATTATTTTTGAACAACGTTTGAGACACCACTGGTTAAACTGCTGACACTTGATTGAATTGTTACTTACACTAGCTTTACAAACTGAACAGGGCCAAATGTCACCAGTGGGTATCGGCTTTGTGATTTTTTCCATCAGTTATAATTAACAGTGGACTGAGAATCGAGCCTTGGTGAACTCCAACGCCGATGTCAAATGCATCTGTGTTTCCAACCGTTGTGCTGACGAAAGTTTTAGTATTCGTATACATCACAAGTCGAATAAGATATTCTGGAATGAGTTGTCAACGTAAACTCCACCTGGTTGCTTCACGGGGGACTCGATCAAATGCATTTTCAAGATCTACAAAAATGTGTGGTAGTTGTTGTGGCTTTGCGAGGTACTTCTCTTGCAGTTGCCGAAGGATGTGAATTGCAACAATTGTTGAGTTTCCTGCTAGGAAACAAAATTGATAACTTCCGATTGTGGTGCACGACGTTAATCTTCTCACAATGATTTTCTCGACAATTATCAGGGAGTGTTTTAACAGACGTATACCCCGATATGATGAAGAGTTCAATGGATCACCTATTCCTTTGTATTGCGGCGTTGAGCAATTTCTCCAGATTTTTCGGCAAAGTTGTAGTAACGTTTGGATACCTGAAGTACCAGATGCTTTGATAATGTCATTTGTGAGTCCAGAGGGCCCTGCTGCCATTCCATCCTTCATAGCTTACAGAGCTTCTTTAAGCTCCTCTACAGGGATGTCTGGAATCGGACCTTCGATGGGTGGAGCGTCAAAATTAACATTGATGGGATTTGTTTCGTTTTACAGACGGTTGAAGTATTCTCTCTACTGTAGCTTAATCTTATCTTGTTCAAGAACCATCTCATTTTTGTCGTTTTTGATACATGAGGCACCAAGTCTTTTTTCGTACGCTTTGCTTGTTTTGCTATATGGTACAGAGATTTCATTTGTTCACCTTTGCTTTTAGTGAGCCACTCTTTGCATTGATCTGTCCGAGCCAGTGCAACTTGACGTCTTGTATAGTTGTTCTTCTCACGGAAAATTTTATGGTCATTAACAGACTTTGATTTTGCCATTGCTTGTATGCAGCTTCCTTTTCAGCTATTGCATTTTGTACATTGTCATTCCACCACCAAGTGTCCCGTTCATGCTGACGTTTTGTACCAGTTTTCCCACAAACTGTAGTTGCAGCGTTTATCAAAACGGTTATGTATGTACTCCAGTCTGTACTGGCTTGCGATTGGTGGTCTAACTGTGTGACGACAATCTGTTGAAATTTTTCTCGATGATTATTGCTTTTCAGCTTCCACGTTTTGATTTTCCGAGGCATTTGTTTAGACTTATGTTATGACAGTTCGACAACCAGGTCTGCCACAAGGAGTCTATGTTGGGCGACACATGATTCGCCAAGTATAACTTTGACGTTTTTGAATAGCCTTCGGTGTGGTTGCTTGACAGCAGAGAAATCAATTTGCGTGGCTGATGGTCCACTTTTGTATGTTATGAGATGTTTCAACCTCTTTCTAAAATATGTGTTCAGTAAACAAAACCCGTGACTTTCAGCAAACTCAAGGATGCGGTTGCCATCTTAATTCCGTTTTCCATAGCCCAAAACCGCCATGTACGTTGTCAAAACCATCTGTTTTCTCTCCAACGTGGCCATTGAGATCGCCTCCAATCAGGATTGTTTCAGAGTTTGGTATTGTTGAGATGGTGTCAGACAATGCAGCCCAGAAGTCATTTTTCATCTCTTCTGATTCGCCTGTTTGTGGTGCATATGCAGAAAAATAATCATTGTTGGCTTTTCTATGCGAAGTTTGATCCACATGAGACGTGAATTAATCCTTTTAATATCCAGTACTTCTTGGGCTAGCGGTTTTCTGACAAAAATTCCAACACCATTTTTTGCCGTCTTTTGACCATTCCAGAATAGTTTATATTTTTCTTTGTCTGAAATGACATGACAGACACCATTCGATTTCCATCGAGTTTCCTGAATGCAGCTGATGTCAATCCTTCTACGCTCGAGCATTTCTGCGATTTCCATGCTACGGCCAGTCAGTGATCCAACATTGAGCGTTCCAAGTCTAAGTACCATAGAGGGGCCATTCTGAATTTTTCTGCAACATCCCTCCGCTATTGCATACTTCCCAGGGATTCTTGGCACCCTTTGACCACTAAAGGCTTGCTGGGAACTAGGGGCCGTTTCTCTTTGCGATGGCATGCATTCATGGTATATCCATAATTAATTAATAATAAGTATTATTCTTGATAAATTAATCAAAGATTTAATTACTTTCCAGGTGTGTATTAAATTTGTACGCAATGGCTAAAAGATTTGTGATTAAATTATTATCTATAATTATAGGAATGTTAGTATTATTCTTGCTTAAATTAATCAAAGATTTAATTAAATTTTGGATTTCCACATGAAGCTTTAAGGCATTTTCGTAATGATGTTGCTTAGCAAGTTTGATTTTAATGTTTAGTTTTTTTCTAATTATTTTATAATGATTATAATTCTGTATAGTTCTATTCCTATATCATTTCTTGAAAAGATTATTTTTTCTTTCATTAAACTTAAGAGTTCTTTATTGAGCCATGGTTGGAAATTATTAAACGTTTTACAGTAATAAATTGTAATTTATTATTTAGTTTATTAATTAAATTAACAAAATGTTTTATAATAATCATTTTATTGCGATTAATTTAAAAATAACATATATATATAAATATTAAATTATTGAAATAAATTAAATATAAACTAATAAAATTAAAATAGTTTAAATGCAACAAAAAAGCTTTTTTCAGTAAAATTGCCATCATCAGTGTTATAATTTGAAATAAGGTTAACTATAGTAACCAAAAACTAAAAGTAAAAGTTAACAGAAAAAATTTAGAACTATTTATATATATTATATAAGTTTAAATAAATTTTAGTTTTGCGACTTTTTATTAGAATAAAAGATTAATAAATCAATCAATCTTCGTTTAGCGACAAATGCCAACAATTTGGTAGTATATATATATATATATATATATATATATATATATATATATATATATATATATATTTACAATATTCTATTACATTATATTTATATATATATATATATTTATTTATTTATATATATATATATGTTGATAATAGACCATAATTTTTACAATATTCTATAAATTCTATGGAATGTTTGGCGTTAATATGTTTGTAGTTCGTTTTTTCGATTTTTCTCACTAAAGTTTTTTGGTGAACGTTTAGTTTATTAAAATTCAAAATAAATTTATTTTCCGAATTCATGCTGCAAATAAGGCCATATTTTGATTCCGAATGAATTATCAGTGCGATTTAGTTTATATAGGGAAATATTCAATAGATTCATATTCTTCTTTGTCACTATTTTTTTATACAAGTTTTTTTGTTCTATTTCATTTTTTATAGTATATTTATTTTTTTTTATACAACAAAAAATGACAACCTCACTCCCAACCCGGCGCTTAATCAACAGTGAAAACAAAGAAGTAATAAAAACTAGCATTGTAAATAGCTTCTGCAATTATAAGATGAAGAAAAGG